TTCCCCTTTTCCCTGCTTCTGCTTCTTCTTCTCTGCTTCTGCTTCTTCTTCTCTGCTTCTGCTTCTTCTTCTCTGCTTCTGCTTCTTCTCCTGCTCCTGGTCTTGTCTTCCACGCTCTGGTGAGTTGGCCCTTCGCTGGAAACGGAACCCGCCGTTTGTTCGTTATCGCTAACGGCCGCGCATATCAAGACACACACGCATCGACACTCACGTCTCGACACTCCGCCACTCTCTCTGAAGGATACAACTGTTTATATAGCTGTTGGGTGTCGTACGCTGGGGATAGTCTCACGGTCTTTGGCGGCAGTGGCTCCAGCGGTGAACTAGCGGCCATAATAAGCTTACCGCCTCCTTTTCCCTCCTTCGACACCGATACCTCGATATATCTCCGAGATAACCGGCCCTCCCTTCGACCGTCCTGCTTTCCACAGGGCTCACGCCCGGCCTACGAAGAGCGCGGCGTGTCGTCTAGCTCGATAACGTCTTGACCAGGCTGCGGAGCTCTGCTTGCGCCACCAGCTCCATTCTCCAGCTGCTCGAGCCACCCCACTATCAAAGCCAGCGGTGGCGCTTCTTTTCCGCGACTCATGCTGTCGGCCCTTGCGACGGACCAGGCTTTCTGGCCAGAGGACTACTAGTGTTATCTCTCTGTCTTTTTCTCTTTTTGTTTTTTTTTTTTTTTTCTTTTTTTTTTGGCTATATATCTAGTTGTAAGAATCTGGCTTTCTTTCTGGGAGGGGGGAAAGGAATACCTAGCTTGCAGCCATGGAGGGAATGAACGGGAGCCACATCATGGCAGAGGACAACATCATCAATCGACGGGGCGGGGAGTCGCTCTTCCAGAACTGCAGCAACCTGAAAAAGCGGCTGGCTGAAGTCCCCGGGTTCGAACCACATCTGGCCGAGATGCAGGAGTTGGATAGAGCCAGCGAAGAGAACGATCCGGTTGCCTCGGTGTGGAAGTGTCTGCGGCAAGGGTACCCCTTGATGACGATCTACAATGCCACCAATCCCTCTGAGCCTCTCTCGATCGATGAGAACAAACTGCAGGAGAGGAATCGGCCCAAGGCCGCGACCTTCAAGTTCCTCCAGGCTTGTCTGCAGGAGCTCAATTTCCCGCAGCAGGAATGCTTCCTCATAACAGATCTCTACGGCGACAGCACAACAGGTTTTGTCAAGGTGTGTATTCACCTCCAGCTCAGCTGTGTGTATCTAACCCCCCACCCTTTTTCTAGGTAATAAAAATGGTCAATCGAGTGATAGATATACTCGAGCTGCAGGGCCAGCTATACAAAGTCTCCCCGTCCACGTCTCTACCGGCCGAGGGAGGAAAGGCCAAGCTCACCCGGAGAGAACATATTTTGAAGGAGATGCTCGAGACCGAACGAGACTACGTCCACCATCTTCAAAACTTGCAGGCGCTGAAGAAAGAGCTCGACGAAACCGGTGCTCTCACCGGAGACACCAGCCATCAGATATTCCTGAATTTGAACAACCTACTCGACTTTGCCCAACGGTTCCTCATCCGGATGGAACAGCATAACGCGCTCCCCGAAGAAGCCCAGAACTGGGGCGACCTCTACCTTACCCACCGCAAGGGGTTCCTCCAGTACGAGCCTTTTATCGCCAATCAGCTGCGCTGCGACCAGATCTGCCAGAAGGAATGGGATAAGATCCATACCGCGCCTCGGTCGCCCGATCTTCAACAGATGGTCGCCCAGTTATCAACCCTCAATGGCTTCTTCGTCAAACCGTTCCAACGCCTCACCAAATACCCCCTCATGCTCATGGTACGGAACCGTTGCCAACACCTTCCCATAACGTCAACGGCTAATCCCATAATCGTAGGAACTCCGGAAACAAACAGAGAACCCGGCGCTTGGTGCCGACATTAGTGAGGCAATTAACATGATTCAATTAATTCTAGATAATGCCAACCACGCAATCGATAAAGAGCACCTGGTTGCCGCAGTCGAAGACCTGTCGCAGCGAGTAGAGGATTGGAAGGCCCTTAAGATCGAGAAGTTCGGCGATTTATTACGATACGGAACGTTCACCATCTTGAAGGGCGATAGTAGCAAAGACGCAGAAAGAGAGGTTCGTATAATTCTCTCCGACACAAATGCACAATCCACCCTGCTTGGAAGCCGCCGGAGCTCCTTCACCGGTTCAGTCATCCACCTGCTCTCAGCAAACAGTCCGCGGAATTGGAGCTGGAAACAACCCAAGGACCTCAAATCTATTTCCACATTCTCTACACCAACACACGCCCACCCCTTGGAGCTCTTGACCCCTGATCATTCCGCAAGCACAAAAACCCTTGAATTCAATACCCCTTCGCCTGGACCTGGACATGGATCATTCGAGAGCTGCAACACTTCGCCATCCAAGTCCAGACGTTCTATCTCATCTATTTTTTCCCTTTCAAAAAATAGTAAACAGACGCTATCCCCCACCACCTCTTCCATGCCCCAGCAGAACCTCACCAAGGCCCTTGTTCAACCCAATAGTGAAGTCGAATCTGAAGACGAACGTTGAGAGCATCCACGCAACACTATACCACACACTCATGTTAGGCACAAACTCGAAAGTTAAAAAAAAACAACTTGGGTGATGGCTCATAGTAATGAAAAGGGCCTGACAAGGGAATCTATCCCCAACATACATCAATCCCGGTTCAAGTTGCTTAACACTTGAATCTTGTTACTATCTAAATATAAGACCATGATACCCTCTCCGGATATCTACTTTCATAAGTACTGTTTGCTTTCATCCAATCTTCCCCCTCCCGGACATTCGCCACTATCACCATGACTGAGCCTCGGACCATTTGGAATGAACTTGTTGCTAACTCCTCCTTGTTGCATTTAGTATCACATATATCTATTCCAGAATATTCTTCTTTGCTGCAAAGACATTTACCCTGCAAAGCAGAAGAGCAAGCTAATGGGAAAGGAGAAAGTCATCCCGAATCCCAAAGTGAAACCAAAACTTCAGCTTAAAGGCAGAATATACATGGCAAATGTGACTGAAATATTATCTCTTTCAAAACCAGGTGTGTTCTACTCAACAGCATATTTGTCAATTCTATCCTAATCATTATCCATCACAGGATCGTACAAGATACAAATATTCTGGAAAGGTGACCCGGGCGTTGTCGATAACTTCGGTATTCGCTACCGAGATGAGGACACAATGAATAAATGGTATAAGGATATCGACGCGCAGCGGGCCCTTCAATCAGACGACCGGCCTTCATCCAGACATCATGGAACTTCAGAGACAGAATTCACCTATCTTAGGAATACGCCAAAGCCTCCAAATCCGTACCAGGAGGAGTATAGCACAGAAGAAGAACAGTTATCGAGAGAACCCACCAACACCTCCCTATCCGAATTCTCTACCTCACGGAATGCTTCTAACACCAGCTTACGGGGACGTTCTGCTACAAACGGCAGCGGAGGCTCAGGCCACCACTCGGGCGGTCGGCCACAGTTCCCAATTGCTAATGCTCCGCTGACCGTGCATACACAGTTTACCCCCGGAGCAGTATCACCTAATGAACGCAACGGGCCCTCCTACTTTTCGCCAACGGGCGAGGCACCGCCTTCGACCAGATCTAGCTCTCAGTCGACAGCCTTTTCCTATTCGCGTGGAGGAACCCCGTCGAATGCATGGACTGAAGCAGAACAGAACCGATACACTGCCCCGGCCATGCCTAGGTCAGGCTCTAGAGACGGATCCGGATCCAACCCGTACTTTAATAATGGTCCTCGCGGCGCCCAGCGGCCCTCACTCCCGCCCTTCTCTTCAAATCAAAATGGACAGCCTGGGTCCCAGTCACAGTCACAGGCACGAATGAGATCAGCAAGCAGTCCTGACATTCACAACGGTGCAGTGCCGGACTCCCGCCGGTACATGAACGGCGGACACACAATGCAGACCGTAGATAACGTCCCCGTACCCCCGATACCCCCGCATATGGCGAACATGCGAGCTCCCATAAACCGGAGTCAGAACAGCTCTCCCACTGGAAACACCCTCTCCATCCGCTCCGGCACTCAATCACCGAACATGCAACCACCACCCTCTCGCCATGGCCATGCTCACCCACCACCAATAGGCTATAATTACGAGTCACATATTATGAACGGTCAACCACAACTTCCTCCAACATCCATGCCACAATCCTCTTCATTCGACGACTCCGATTCCCAAATGCCCAGCCAGCTCAAGGCGAAAATCAACTTTGACGATAACTACGTCACTCTCGTGATTGCAAGCAACATACTTTTCCGCTCGCTCACGGACCGGGTTGATGCCAAGCTAGCTCGGTTTACCGACCGGTCCATCGGCGGCAACTCAGCACGTCTACGGTACCGAGACGAAGACGGTGACTTCGTAACGATCGATAGCGACGAAGCTGTTCAACTTGCCTTTATGGAATGGCGCGAACAACATCAGAACTTACTTGCCACTGGTCAAGTTGGAGAAATCCAACTATTCTGCCAACCGGTGGAAAATTGATCATGTTTTTTTTTCTTCCTTTCCCTTTTCCTTTAGTTGTTTGTCTGTTGCCAATTAAAAACACCCAATACCCCCATTCGCTTTTATTTGTTTTGTTCATGTCTGGCCTTTTCAACTTTTTTTTTGTGTCTCTCATGTCATATCATATATCATAATCCGTATAAGTATATCATGGATGAAAAGGGGAATCTTGGCCCTTGGAGATTTGATTCGATAGTCTAATTGGATCTGAAGAGATGTGTGGAAAGCGAGGAGTAAATAAGCCAAACTACTAGTATTTTACTAAACTTCAAACAGCCCAAACCAACGTTTGTATCCTGGTCTTTAATATTCAATTAATCAGGATAATTGCTATTGTATATAATCACTTCAGCACGCATTGAACAGCCGCAGCAAAAGGATAGTCCATACACTTTTCCCCTGGCAAAGATATAGGCGTCGACTCGCACGTCGGGCTCCTACATAGAGTTAGCTTAACCTTTCAGCGGGGTATAGGATAAACATACGTGAAGGCCATGCAGGACGCCGCTCTATCAATCTGCACAGACTTGATACTAAATAAATATATGGTCAGGTCAGGCTCGACATGACCATGCAAACGTCACGCATAACCACGCACTTCAGCGAGCGCAAGTCATAACACTTGCCATCAGCCTGGACGAGAGCAGGCGGGCCTCCACAAGGCTTTTGCTGATATACATGAGCCTAGCATAGTATCGTTCAGTCAGTTCCCAGCCACAACTTAGAAGTATGCACTGATAGACTTACCCCATAGATCGGAGCCAGAGGAACTGCCGCTGCCATACAGCAAGGGAGAACAACAAGGAGCACCGTTGATAGAATCATTATTCCGACTTGGCTTGTATTTCGAGAATTGGTGCTGTGACGGAGAGACAGAGGGGGCTGTCTTCCCCGGGCGACGGCCTGCTTTTTGATGCCATGGCCAGTGTAACTCGCTAGTGGCCAGATTCTGCAATGTCGAGCGATCAACGAGGCTGGATTCGAGCTCTTTATCGATCTGCAGCTGTCGTGGAACCGAATCAGCTGGGCGTTTGGAGGCTATGAAGCTGTCATAGATGGCTCTTCGCTAGTTGTTGTATGGGTATAAAGAGGTTGAAAGCGAGGTTGCGGTCTAAACTTTTGTATCTATGCTATGGCTTCATGCATGAAGAATAAAGAGATCTGCCTTTGTTGACGGTAGCAGGTTGTGGTCTTCATTGCTGTGAAGATGTAACTGTGAAGATGTCTCGAAGCGGAGCCGTTGGTTTATTAATCTTCAACTTCATCTTCTACCAAATATCAAGTCAAGACAGCCAGCCACAAGCCACATCATAGATATCTACTCGTCTAAAGCTATTCGTACTCATATACTGCTTCACAATGTCGGTAACTCGTTTCAAGCTGGTCTTCAACGTGCCTACGACAGCCCTCGAGGCGTGCAAAGCCGCCATCTTCGCGGCGGGGGCTGGCAGCTATCCAGGCCCAGGGAACTACACCGAATGCTGCTTCACCACCATAGGAACAGGCCAGTTCCGTCCTGGAAAGTCGGCAAATCCTCATATTGGCAGCGTGGGAGCGCTCGAGGAGGTTCAGGAGGCGAGAGTCGAGACGCTCTGTGTTGGTGAAGATGTCGTTAGAAAGGCGGTTGCTGCGCTGAAGCAGTATGTATACATATCTCTATACCTTGGTCTCATGTCGAGTTGGTCTGACGGTTCATAGGGCACATCCATATGAGGAACCGTCATACGACGTGTTTAGGATGGAAGACTTTTAAGGTCGAGGCCGAGTTCAAGGGGACGTGATAGAATTCCATACAGTATGAATCAATGATGAATGGTGATGGATTATAATTATCTGTCTAGGGTATCAAAGAAAGGGGCTATTTAAAGTGAACATTACGCATTTAGATGCTTTAATCAAGGCCAAAAAAAGAACAACCAGAATATTCACAGGAATATTACATCTTTTCTCTTAAAAGAAAAAAAGACAACCAACGCCGTCGCTCATAGATCCATATATGCTCCAATTTTCCTTTATATCCGACCACGCTTCATCGCCTCCCGTTCCAGCAGCTCCGACTCTCCGCTATCACCGGTCCGCCGTCTCTCGAGAACCCAGTACTGCGACCCCGACTCGTCTCTGCTCCTGATGTAGCTGATGCGCTCACCCGCGCTACAGTTCAAGGGACCTGGCTTGTCGTCTTCCTGCAGGGCTCGTGGCGAGTTTCTATTCACAGCGTCCCAGGCAGGTGGGGACCGAACGCAGTCTGAATGCCTCCTGTTCGACCTCAAATCTGGGGTGGGTTCTTTATCAAACTGGATGGGGCTGTTCAGCTCTGAGTGGCCATTGAGCATGCCGTTTGTCTGTACCGGCGAGCCGGTATCGTAGTAGTAATTGTTCAAGCTCCCCCGGTTAGGTTGAGTAGAGGTCGAAGGCGAAGCGGCGCCCTGACTGCCGGTATTGCTGCGTAGGCTGCCGTTGCTTCCACCCCAGGCTCCGCGCCGCAGCTTCATCAGGGCACTGAGTGATATCTCGTCGTCAGGAACTTCCATGTCAACCAGCTGCGAAAGCGGCGGGTTAGATACCTGCTGATTCGGATGGCCGGCATGCGCAGCGAGAGAGATGATGGAGTTACGAGTACTCCATTCACTTCTCTCAGTAATAGGCGTCAGGCTAGGTTCTCGAAAATTCTTCCTTCCGCTATGGTTGCGTATGATGCCTTCAGCTCCCTTGGCACCAAAGTAGCCACCATACACACGCTCCGTGTCGTCACTCCCGTGAGCATGGGCATAGAACCCGAATTCCCGGCCGTAGAAGCCTTCGTCGTCGTTCTCCAGGACGTCAGCGTTGGCCTCAGCGATGATAGGATCATCGTCTAGCGCGTCTCCATCGTAGTAGTCAAAGTCATCAAACGAGTCTTCCATGCCGGTGTCTACTGTCTGGCTCATTCTGCTCTCATCTGTTGTCAGGCATGGATCAGTTTGGGACTCCCCTCTGGCAGAGACGTTTCACTTAGACTTGCGTTGCGCTCGAATCTTCCCTTGCGAGCTGCTTCGTTGGCTGCCTGGGCCAACGCACTGTGATATGCCTCTAGGTTTCCCTTGGTTAGTCCTTGGGTGGCGGACATGCCCTTGACACTGTTCTGCGGCGGTGGATGACCGTAGCCATTGATTGTTTGCAGTGACTGAGCAGCAGCACGCCTCTTGTTATCATAGAGGTAGCTTGTCTCGTCATCAAAGATAGATTCATCAAAATGGGACCCTTGCATTTCAGGCGGGAGCTCGCCAAACCGGCCATCATCATAGTACATGTCATCTTCATCATTCTTTGATCCGGAAGTTCCTTGGTTTGTGGCTGGTCCTGGGTTCACTGTTGCCGGGGGAAAGGGTGAGTATCCTCCATTATACATGGATATGCCAGGCTGATTTGGGGACGTTGTGAACTGAGAAGGGACTGAAACTCCACTACTACTGGGTAAGAGGCCGTTGGAAAACTGTTGCTGGTTTGGTAGCGGTTCATTGCTATGCGGGCTTATAGGACTGGGTATCACCGTGGGAATATATGGATTTATATGGTTCCGTAAGGCTGGCCTGCCATCGTCAGACTCCGTGGTGGATTCAGCATCAGCGTTGATGCCGGGTATCTTCTCCTCCAGCCCATCATCGTCCATCATGGCATCATAATCGAACTCGTCAGAGTCATCGTCGAATTCACTCCGTACTTCTTCGATCCCCTGAGCTCTCTTTGCGGCTTCCTTCTCCTTATGTTTTTCTTCCATGAGCTTCTCCTGTGAGGACGAGGCACCGCCCGCCAGATCGAAGCTGAACCGTGACGCACTGCTGGTCAGATGCCTTGGAAGCCCCAGGGGAACGAACGAGGGATCTCGCACTGAAGCTGGCTTGTAGCGCATGGTAGAAGGGGGTGATTTGGTATATGCAGGGGGGTCTTCTTGGGGATATTGGTTTCCAGTTTGTGCTTTAGGGGGAGACTCCGGGGGAGCCTGTTTGCTCTCTGGTTCAGGGGGCGGTCCTTGGGAATACTGCTGCTTTCCATCTGGCCTGGAAGGCAGCTCAGCAGAGGTTCTGTTCATCGGTCGATAGGGTATAGCCAGTGGAGTTGCCTGTCTCTGGTGCTGTCTGGGGGGGTTATCAGGGAGCTCCCTGACCTGCCGTGACCGAGCAGCTCTATCAGCCATGTAGTTATTACTGTTATTCTCCGCCACACTTGATCGAGCCCGCGGCACTGAGAAATCATGGACCAGACTGCCTCTGATCCTGGGGTCGTAGTCATCCGGTATAGCGGGCACAGTCAACTTGCTGATACTGATATCTTCCGGCCTCGAGCTGACCAGCTGGGCTGACCGTCTCCTCGCAAGCAGGACCATGGGATTCAACAGATTCAGCCTCGTCTTCGTCCCCTTTGACGACGGCACCTCCACCACCTCCTGCTGGTGTCTCTTGGATGAACTGTTGCCTGACTCTCGAAGGAAGCCCCCTCCCGAGTAACTGCTGGTATCCGGAGAGGGCTTCGAGGACGACCGGCTGCCAACTGCTCCAGGCGAGTATCCCCCATCCCTCAAGCTACCAGAAGGCGACGAGCCTGATCCCTTCCCCAGCGTCCATCTCCAGGTCGACGAGGACCGAACCGCATTCTCCGCTACCGCCGCTGCCGCCACCACCTGCTGTTGATGCTGCGGCTGCTGGCCGACACCAGGCGAGTTCTGTGTGCTACCATACATGGGCGAGGCGTTCGAGTGATACCGGTCGTTAGCCAGCCAGTTGTCCCTCAGCTCGTATTCCGTCACCACGATTTTCTCTTCGGGCGACGGTGGCACAGTTTTTCCCGGACAATAGATCTTCTCGTCTGAGAACCATTTCCCGCTCGCAAACGCGGAGTTGAGGTCAGGCTCGGCCGTCCAGATGCCAGACTCGAAGATCCCCTCGGTCAGCGTCGACCTGGCCGTGCTCGAGTCGTGAAATGCGGACAGAGAGTCGTTGTTTGGCTGTGTAGAGGAGGACGATGGGGCGAAGGCGATGCTGGATGGGCGCTGCTCGTCGCGCCGCATGTAGGTGAACATCTCTTGGATCTGTTGAATAGCCTGAATCTTCTCTGCTGTAGCTGGTTGGTGTATTTGTCTCAATGTCTGGTTTATGGGCTGGATGAAGCCATGCTTCGCGTGTGTTTTCTTTTCCCGCTGAACCGGTTTGTAGGCGAAGTTGGAGGCAAAGGGCGATATTGATATTAGAAGAGCAGGATAGTAAGAAGAAGAGAATAACAATAGGAGGACGGGGAGTGTTTGCAACAGATTAGAGACGATATAAATAAATATAAATAACGGGTTAGTTAGCTGTTGGTTTTCAGGGGGTTTAGTTAGTCGCTTTAGCCACAGCCTTGCAGGGATGCATATATGTCTATCGATGAAGATCTATGTAAGTGTAGAAGATGAAGACGTAGAAGGCGTAGATGGATTGATATGGATGAAGATGTAGAAAGGTTGACCAACACCAAGCTATGCTATATTACATCAAAGTAGGAGATTAAAATGCATAGGAAAGAAGAACAACAGAAGCATCATCGTCGTAGAAGGAAGAAGAAAGGAGAAGAAGAAGTAAAGAGAAGGAGAGAGAGAAGAAGACTACTGGCGAACACTCAGTCTCCATCGATCAATCATGTCTCTCTGCCGAGGATCAATCGTCTCCTGCTGGCCGCCAGCAGGGTGCATGCTTGCAGGATTGTAGACGTATCCATTCGCTGGGTAGCCGAAGCCGCCGCCACCAAGCATGCCCGAGCCGTTCAGCGTGGCCGGAGCAGTGCCTGGTGGCGGGCCATGGCTGTAGGGAAGCATTGGCGTGCCGGACAGACGATGGCCGCCCATGGAGAGCGGTGTGGTGGCCAGCATCGAGGCGCGGGTGGGAGGCATCTGGAGCAGAGAGTGTGTCGAGGCCATGGCCGCTGGTGTCTGGTACCGGAGATCGAGCTCTGAGTGTGCTGTCATCGCGCCTGGACGGGCAGGATGGGCCTGGAGGATGTTGGCCATTGACCGGCGTTGAAGGGGAGAATAGGGTGCTGACGTCGCTGTCGCTGCCGCTGCTGGGTTTGACCGTTTCTGGGCTTCTGCCTGGAGACGCTTACGGCGCTGGCCAAGCGTTTCTTCCTCTGCCTCAGCTGGAGCTGGAGCTGAAGCTGACGCGGATGCTGGTGCCCCCTTGGCCTTGTCGGTGTCCAAGTCTCCAAATTTCGATATCAGGTCGTCAAAGTCGTTGCCCTCGCGAGCTCTCAGACGGCTCTTCCGCTGCGCCAGCGTCTCCTCTTCGTCTCCGCTCTCGTCGTTGCCGTTGGTATTGTCCGTCAAACCGGGTATGTCGAGCGTAAACGCAGCGCTGGCCCGCTTATCTGGACTGGGGTCCCTGGGCGCCAGGTTCCGAGGCGTTGCTCGGCCCGTGTTCAGCGGCTCTCCTCTGATCCGGGCCCGTCGTCTGCTGAGCGGCTCGCTTTCGTCAAGGAGTAACTTCTCCATTAGGCCCAGCGGCCTGTTCTCATCGGCGAGTCGGCTCTGTTCCGGAAACAGAACGCCCAGGGGAACGTCTTCGTCGTCTATCTCGTCCTGAGCTGTGCTCTGATTCCCTTCCCAGGCCAGCGTCACCCGTCCCTTGTCTCGTTTCTCCTGCTGGCGCTGCGCAACACTGTCCAGCTCGAGCAGAGTAGAGTGCATACCGTTGGGGAATGCAGTGGCAGCCGTCCTGGTTCTCATCTTCTGCTGGTGTTTTCGCATCTGCAGCTCGGCAAGCAGGGTCGTCGGTGGCCCATGGATCGGTTCATCGTCCTTCGTCTCCTCTTCGTCCTCCTCCTCTTCGTCTTCGTCTTCCTCCCCTTCCGCTTCTTCATCTCCCGCCCTGCTCTCATGCTCATGGTCGGCGTGATCGTCAAACGTACTTCGCAACGAGGTCCTCTCGTCAATATTGTCCAGCGCTTGTCCGTCCGAGTTTGCACGCACATGGCCAGCCCTGGCTGAGGACAGCGACCGCTCAGACACACCATCCCCCGGCTTCAGCGAGGTCCGCTTCTTGTTGATCTTGTTTTTGGGCCGTTTCTGCTTGTACACGTCTGCGCCCAGATGGCCGACTATGGGATGGTCCGTAAACGCACTGACGGGTGCGTGGGCAGCAGCATCCAATATGCCATCCAACGTCGCGACGGCCGACTCCCCCTGAATACGCACGTCGATCTGAGTCTTGGGAGCGTCGAAGAAGGCACTTGCACGGAGCTGTGGGGGCAGGTTGGACAACCGCTTGCTCAGTCTGTCCCCTCCGGCCGTGGAGGTGTTTTCTGCATCGGTGATCCAGGCGGCGGACTTGCGTGCGTCAGGGGAGATGGAGTTGATCAGCTGTGTACGGCGTTTCTCCTGTTCGGACTGTGCAGGCTTGCGGGAGAGACGCTGGGGCAGGTTGAGCATCATGGGGACGGGGGCCGGGTAGTAGACCATATCCTGGCCCGGAGGGGGAGCGCTGTAGTGACCAGCTTCGGCAGCGAGTGGAGGTTTGGAGAGAGAGACACCGCGGGAACGGGAGGCTTCCCTCATATGTGGTGTGAAATGGACGCCGTCGAAGTCTCTGAACAGGTTCGTAGACTGCTGGTAGGTGTCTCCGGACGCTGCACTCTCCGGTCTTGCTCCATGCTGTGGCTGTTCAAACTGTCCATTTTGTTCGTACTGCCCATTTTGTCCGTATTGTCCGTTTTGTTCGTACTGTCCATGTTGTTCGTACTGTTCGTTTTGTTCGTATTGTAGGCCATTCTCTAGGGCTTGTAGGGCCAGTTGGACTTCTGGATGATCCGGCGGAGGAGGTATGGTCGCCATATCCGCACTCTCATTCTCCGGCTCGATGATATGGGCCAGACGAGAGGCAGACGAGCCAGACCGTACCCGTGGCCTGTTCAAAGAAGACTGCCTCGACAAGCTACCGTATCCCGGCGCGGAAGAAGCACCAACAGCGGCAACGGGAGATCCAGGGGCCGCCCTCGAATTGGCAATGGAACCGCCCGAAGCAGCTCTCGACCTGGACGAAGACATGCGCCTCAGCGCTCCCAGCTCCCTCTCGGCCTCGATCTCCATGCTGATACGTTCAGCGGACTTCTCGAGCCTCTCCACGTTACCGACGTAGGCCCCCTGGATCGACTGCAAGTCTGGCGTTGGATGGCGTAGAGGCGTAGAATTTCTCCGGCTTCGCGGCGACTTCAGCACCGGCTCTTCCATATTATTATTACTCTCTTTCTTCTCTGGAGTATCTTTCTTCTTGATATCTACCGCATACTCGTCTGGTTCGACGAGCTCGTAGGCGGCAGCTGGGCGCATGATGGCCGTGGCCGACTGGAGGAGCGAGTCTGGCGCTGTGTCTGCGGCGGCCTCTCTGTGGGCGGAACCGCCAAAGTTTTCAAAGTCGAGGGCGAGCGGCGCAAACGAGGGCGACTGGAGGACGGGCGAGCGATCTGAGGCATCGTCAGAGGCAGAAGACGCAGCTTCGAGCTGGTCTGTCTGCGCGAGGGCGTTGTACATTCTCGCCGTTGGCGTTGGCTCTCTGTTGGGCTATCAGTTGATTGATGTCTCTGTCAGTGTCTCTCGGTCAGTCTGGGGTTGGTGTAAAGAGAAGACGGTGCCAGTGTCATTATCTTCTTTTCTCTTCTTCTTCTTCTTCTTCTTCTCTTATTATCGTTATTATCCTCCTGTTGTTGTTGTTGTTTTCTTTCTTGTTGGCTTCGAAGAAAAGTCGACTCGCCACGGTGGAGATGTTTCATCCGGCCTGCATCGATCCATACATGGATTCTATATTTACTGATATTTACTTATATTACATGTTTAGCATGCTGACTCTTTGTCACTAACACGTACGACCGATAGGACCGTCGTCTTCATTCTAGATATATTACTTGAGCCTGGTGCATCCTTAATATAGCCGGTCGAGGGCAGCAGGGCTTGGGCGGCTCTAGGTAGCCATCCAACTTGTATCCAACTTGGCTAGGCCTATGGACACGCCCTGTTGGCATCTCTCGAAGGCTCTAGCATGTCCAGGCATTGATTAATGAATGCCTACAGAGGTATCGTCGTGATCGAGTCTCTGGCACTAGGCTTGCTCTAACGTACCGCCACAAGCCAAACCGATGCTCTAGTCGTTCCGTAGGCCTCACTACCGCCCTTGGTACCTTGGACCAGGCTGTTTCACCCGTTGCTCTGTCGTTGCCAGAGGCTGCAGAAGGTCTAATCTCAGTCAAGGTCTCAGCCTGAATAAAGGGATGTACACAGTAAAGATCGTTGACTCTGGTAGATCCCAGACTCCTGCTTCAGATATGCCGCTGATCGACTTAGCAGTGTCCAGCCTGTCGACCAATATCGGGTATTCTTATATCAATCACTTAATCCAGCACTCCCGACGGAATACCGCTGGTTTCAAGCTGGCTGTCTCCTGGAGAAGTTAGCAAGACGTCTGACACTCTGGGAGAACCGCTACTTACCTTCGCCTCCATGAAGTCTGATACGAAGAGAATCAATTGTTTACTTGCTTGTCAATTTTGTAGATAGCTTGAGTTCATCACGTGAGCCTAACCGAGAAAGAAGAAATAAAAGACAAAAGATATAAAAGACATAAAAAACATCTATAAAAGACATCTATAAAGAGATAAAGATAAAGCGATAGACAAAGATATAGAAGAGACAGAAGAGATGAGCTAGCATGTCTTACTACGACGTCGACGCCATCCTCACTGACTCGCAAGTAAGTACCCTCTATAGAGCAGGCCTGTGGAGGCATCTATGAAGGCATAAGAGACAGTACGGACAAGACGTCTATATGTACAGAGACAAGCTGACCGGAGCAGAAAGTCCCCTGTACGTTCGAGCTGGACGTCCCCAAGCTGGGCTTCCTCGATGGCAACGCTGGCGGAGATGTACGTCGTTTCTCTGTGAACAACCGGATATCAGACTGACAGACTTAGATCAAAGCCGGCTCAAAGGTCGAGCTGCCTCTCTGGCTGGGCGAGATGCTCGCTGTAGGGTCAGTCTCGACATACACATGTATGCGGATATACATACTGACAGCTGATAGGGCCCGTCAAGGCTCGTCGCCGCTGGTGACGCTGGATCTCCCCAAAGCGCTGTCAGAGCAGGTCATGAACGCTCTCAAGGCAGACCCTAGAACTGTTGATCTCCGAGCCCTTGCGCCGCACTTTTACCGTCTGGGCTGTAGGATCCTGCAGCTCTTCGAGGAGGAGGAGATGGCCGACGTACTTTCTCATGTCCGTCTACCCTTCGGAGCACTCTACTGTAAACTGCTGTGTACCGACTACTTTTTGCTAACTACCGATAGACGTTCAAGACGAGGGCGATGCAGATATCCGACCATGCCCATAACCCTGCCGGCCCAATGTCTGGACAGGAGTTCCTCCGTGGCCTGGACGAGACGGAACGTCAGCGTTGAGTCTTCCCTGTCCATCGCATCAAGTATTCTTGCCGGTTACTAACTCGATCCTGACAGTCTTCCGAGCGGCACATGAGGGTGTCAAGGACATGAGAGCTTGGACGGGTGAAGGGAAGAAGTGATCCGACGCTGCTGTGAAGAGACAGTGACGCTGATGATACACAGTTTGTGTCGTAGCTACATGGCACAGCAGGCTGTTATTCGTTACAACGTCTGAGGGTCAGGGGCAGGTTTTCACCAACCATGGATGGCCGCGAGCTTAACCCTGCTTTTTCTAACTCTCGGACTTGATCTATAGCTTCTGCCATGGTATATCCGCTATAGACTGGGATTCTGGCTCTTGTCCAGGGGCAGCGCTAGTCACTTAGTGACTTCACTGGGAGGCTGGTTAGATAATAGATAATATTGTTTTCTTACTTACTCGACAGTGAACCATTATTTATTTCTTGCAGGTGGCTGTACGAGTTAAATAGCCATGTCAAGTCTTGCTTCTTCATGTTATTGAATCTTCTTGTGCTCTTTTTGTGTAATTAACTATTATATTCATTCTTTGCTTCCTTCGCCTTTGCTCTTCAGGGGGAAAACCTTGAGACTTCCAGCCACCAACGCTTCGTCTTTTCTTCTACATCACATCTCAATAATAATAACAACGTCTTCGCTTCTTCTTCTTCTGCCTCTCGCCTGCAGTAGATATACAACTGATCATCCCTGTCAACGCTTTCGAACGAGTCACAGCCATCTTATACTCGCCCCGCCACTCTGCGACTCCTTCAACTCCTTCAACTCGCCTCCCTCCCTCTCTCTCTCCTGGCTGTCTCCTCGATGAATGCTCCAGCCTGACCTGTAACCGTCGTTTGAACCGGATTCTACCATAGAACAGCTTCAATTGACTGCGCGGTGATGGATTTAAAGCAGAGACGTTGCTTGAACGGTACACTCCCACGCCTCGACATACCATACATAGGGAACCTCTAGTTACTGACTATATATCCAACAGGCAAGCAGATGGCTGAGCGGCCTAGTTCTCGTCTACACACGCTGAATGATGGTGTACATATACCTGCTGGTATGTGTAACTCGCTGTGCCTACATGTACATCCTTACTGACCCTCTATAGAATACAGGCACATACCTAGACACACCAAAGATGCAGACGGAGCACAGAGTGGGTGGCGATGCCAGCAATCTCCTACAGACGATGCTAATAGACCATAGGAAGCTCGAGTGCTGCGGGATCGCCCTTCGTCAACCCAACCTCGACTCTCCTTCAGAACCTGATCAATGAACAACGCGCCTCCCGAGGTCCTCGAGCCAGCTCGGCCTGTGAACACCACCAGCAGCACGTCGAAAGCGGCAGCCCTCCGGCCTCCAACACGGCTGTAAACTCCGACCAGCTCGAGGACTCACCCTCGGAGAAGCAGCGCAAGATAAACAATGCATTGTCAGCTGGTCTCAAACAGCCTCGCGAGATGGGGTTCAGGGAAATGGACCAGGTAGGCTGCCCTCCTATCCAGATATATAATTTTTTGAACAACACGTATCTTAACCGGGAATCCAGTATGTATCCAAATTGAACAAGCTCAATTTCGACTTGAAGCTCGAGGTGTTCCACCGTGCACAGCAGGTAGCTTCCCTGGAGAAGAAGCTGGAGAAAATGCAAGAACTAGAAGACCAGGTCCAGCAGATGGAGCTCATGGATCAGGAATTGCAGGAGCTTCGCGCCACAGAGGAGGATAACCAACGTCTCAGAGAGTCAAATGAAGAACTCAGATCAGAGCTCGACAAACGAGACCAGGCTGTGAACGAGGCTGTCGAATTGATATGCCAGCTGGAAGCGAAACTAGAGGCTGTCGAGGCCCAGAAGGAAGAAGAGGACAGGCCCTCAACCGCCAGGCCGTACTCTAGTGATAGTACCGCTGCTGTCTTCGCGAGCGGCTCGCCCAAGGCTCTTACGCCCAAGAACAAGATCATTCTAGATGTTCCCGAGAGAACTTCTTCACGCAGAGACGTACGGCCTTCGAGATCACGCAGTGTCTCCAATCAAGTTCAGGCCCAGCTTCAGACTCCTACTGCGGCCTCTAGACGGCCACAGCGCCAGCCTTCGTTTCTTCGTGGTGAAGATGATAGTACCAGCGTGCTGAGAAATGTATATATGACCGATGCTGCGGATAGGTCGCGAACAACGTTCAATGCCTTTTCTGCACGAGGGACCGTCTTATCGGACGACGGCACTCACGAGATCGAGTCTCCCAGATTGAGCGCCTTGAGTGAATGCAGCTATCTGGACCCGCCACAGAGTCCATCAGACCCATATGGACCCGGCCGCTCCAAGTTAAAAGTCAATACAAACCACCCGGCCGCAACAATGGCAGTGGAAGACCCTCCGTCTCCTCTGGAACTCGCTCACAACGCATCTAAACCCCCAACTAGCCTCTCCCGTATCGAACAGTGGATGCAGCCTAAGGACACCGAAATAGCCAGGCTGTCCAAACCAAAGGAGAGCAATCTTCCGGCGGATACAATTCTACGGACGCCAACGAACAACCAATTTGGTTTGCCGGGGGCCAAACGGCCTTCAAAGGCGTACAACTTTGACCATCCGTCTCTAGTCATTCCGCAGTATAACGCTGCCAGGCTCCCACCCACGCCAGATACAATGAGCACTTCATACGCTGACTTGCGCAACAAATCAAACACAAGTATCATTGCCGAACGAAGCAGATACGATAGGTCAATTACTATCGGCCGCACACTCTCCATTGACCGGACACTGGGACGTCGTCGATCAGCAAACGATGTTACAACTACACGGCCTAGCACTGCAGAGACCGTCCTTTCCGACGGTCTAGAGACATGGAGCGACTCGACTCAGCCGCCCTTTATCACGGACGAAGAATATCAAATGGCAAGCATGTTCCCATCCTTTGCTTATACCCACCGTCCATCTACCAGGCCTTTCGACCCTGTCGCCCATGCCGGCGCTGTCAATGAGCTAGGTGTAATTATACCCAAAAACAGGAACCGCCAGGTACATGAAAGACCTTCCCATGGGCAAATTCGAAAGGTCTCAAATGCTCCCTCCCTCACACCTGAAGATTGGCTGGAAGCTGCATTGCCTGCTTCTTCCAACGACGGAGATACCACACCAGGCCAACATAAGCCTTCAGAGCCAACAGATCATCAAGATCCAGAAGATGTACAGCAAACACCGCCGAACAATGGCTTCCGCAACCGTGGTGCCCGCGTCTTTTCTGAGCTCCAGCCTCGTCGACGCCTCAACTTACGTCCTCCTTTCTTCAGCCGCACCCCGGCTCATTCTCCTACAAATGCAGTAAGAAGCAATTCCATAGCAGGCCTTACACCCTCCTCCACCAAACATTCACCGGTAACTGCATCTGGAACGCTTCTAAACGAGCATCATCATCAAACCCCCTCGCCCAACATAGGAGGCACAGCTCGCCGACCAAGAACTTCAGAAGCAAACGAGCATAAACGACGTAGCTCGCATAGTTTCTTCGGCTGGATAAAAGGATCTACTACCGCCAAGGAAGCTGACCCATCCCAAACTCCACCTGCCACAGCTACTTCTACAATGTCAGCATATGCACAGTCTCATGTGGAGCCGCAGCAGTCACATACACAAATGCAGAGAATACCCGTTCGAGGAGGCGCTAGACCCGGCTCAGCACTCGCATTTACCAATGAATTCTCCAGTTCTCCTATAGATATGGACCCTCTCTCTGCCTCCATGCATACGGTCGAGCCATCCGATCGACGCCCGCGCTTTTCTGTCTCCGTCCGACGAACTCGCAAGTGAAACAAAAACGAATGAAATAACACATCCATCCATCTGTACAGTACCACTACTTACGTATTTACCTACACTCCCTTGGCAGGACAATAATCGCCCACTGTACACTCATTTCTCTTCCCTGACTCTAATACCCATTTTTGTTTCCGTATGTTTTTCTTCCAAACTTCCTGGTGTTTTTATGGTTATTTTCCGGCGGTTTATTTGAATTATCCTCGTGCTTCTTTGCCGGATAAAGTTGCATGAAATGTATAAAACACGATTCTTAGCCTGGTGTCTAAGGAAAGGAATGAAAGAACGATGAAGAACAAAGTATAAGCGTCAATGTGTTATGGAGATAATTAGATGATAAGCATTCTCGGTTAGAATCACGATGTATCCGGTTAGACGAAGAAATGATACAGCTATACTGTTGATGTTATTCTTGTAACGTTGATGTAGGCGGCAATATATGTTTGATGCTATTGAATCTGCACGCAATTTGTGTATAAGATAAAATACAAATAGACGGGATGCTAGATAACTCAGAGGTATAAATGGCTGCGACTGAGGACACTTGCTTTTAACCTTACAGATATGGTAGCCCTGCATACACAGGCGAGCTGTGGTATATGTACAAATAACTCACGCTTATGCGTATCGCTTCTCAACAGTCTTCCAGTTGATGACGTCCCATACGGCGCCGAAGTATTCAGCCTTGCGGTTCTCGTATTGGAGACTAAATGCATACTTGTTAGTAGATGTACATTTCATGGAAATGGGGAAGAAACTGACTAATAGGCGTGCTCCCAAGCATCAATTCCGAGAAGAGGAATGAATTGGCCAGAGACAGGGTCTTGGTTCTAATAGGTAACGGGACTGTCAGCATTTCCAAGAAAAAGAAATCGGGACGTAAACATTAACATACGGCATAAGACTTGATCTGGATCTTGCCAGTCTGCTTATCCTTTACCAACCATCCCCAACCACTTCCCTGGATACCAGCCAAAACAGTGTTAAAAGTCTTCTGGAAGGACTGGAGGTCGCCAAAAGAATCATCAATGGCCTTTGCAAGGGCACCAGATGGAGGCTCGCCGCCACCGGCGCTCTTGGGAGCCAAGTTCTCCCAGAAAAGGGAGTGGTTGACGTGGCCACCTCCATGGAAGTTGGTCAGTGCCTGCAAGGTGACCTGGGTCTGGATATCAGCTTTGCCTTGGGCGCTTGCAAGCTTCTCGACGGCATCGTTGTAGGAGTTGACGTAGGTTTGATGATGCTTGGAGTGGTGAAGCTCCATGATCTTGCCAGAGATAGCAGGCTCAAGCGCGCCATAGTCATCTATAACGGAATAACAGGTCAGCCATGTCTGTCTCACGTCATATAAACAGTATACAAGTATCTCTCGAGTCACCCGGTGCTTCCATTGGGGGGGGTATCCGAAGGATGTAAATAAAGCTGGGTGACACAAAAAACACAGGGAAGAGGAGGCTTCTTCCCACCCAACTTACATGGGAGATCTGGAAGAGTGACTTTGGCGATGAAGCGAGCAGAAGCTACACCAGCAAGGCCCCTGTTGCCGGTCGAGCGGAATGTTGCAGCTCCCGCGCGGATAGCAGGACGGAAGAGAGTAGAAGTCGCCATTTCTAGAGATTTTCGGCTCTTGATTCAGTCCTGGTAGACTCAATTGAGATCGCTGGAGGAAGATCGAAGTATTAATACTCCAAACTCGATGCCGGTCGGTGGTAAACTTGTGGTTGTCAACAACTCTTGACAAGTTTTAGATGTGAAAGAAGTAAGAAGTTGATGTTGGTTATTAGTAATCATTTATTGATGTCATCGCTTTCGGAGGTAGGATATATAGTTTATCCGATATCAGATCTTGGAGACTTTTTTTTGATAGAAACGACAACATAAGCTGTAAGCTTATCAGCAACAAGTCAAAAAAGGCCTTACGGAGGATGGCATAGAGGGGTAGGACGTTTGGTCTGATATTCCGCTTTACCCTCAATATATATTTAAACGAAGCTTTGCACGAAGAGGTGCGTTTGTCACGCCTCGGTTCCATGGATTCCTCATATCGCCCTTCCTTTGCAAGGCCGAAACGAAAGATCGGTGATTTGGACTCGGAGGAAGAAGACGAAGAGGCATACGCAAGGCCATCTTTTGGCTTTCAAGGGTTTGCGCCTGCTTCAACCCGTTCGCCGTCTCCCCCAACCATGGCATCCAAAGCTACTCGCCCATCATGGAAAACCCCAGCAAACAATGGGAAATCTGGGGGCAAGTCAACTCCTATGGTAGCCAACAGCTTTGCGGCCCGTATGATGGCGAAGATGGGCTACGTGGAAGGTCAGGGTCTTGGTACAAGCGGGCAGGGTATCCTTAACCCCGTCGAAACGGTTCTCCGGCCGCAAGGCGTCGGTTTAGGTGCGGTCAAGGAGAAATCGCAGCAGGCAAAAGATGAAGCCAAACGGGAAGCTGCTAGGAGAGGAGAGGTTCTGGAAACCAGCTCAGATGAAGAGCGCAAACTACGTCAGAAACGCAAAGAAAGAAGACAGCGAGAAGGGACTAGTGGAAGTGGAACAAGTACTCCTAGAGGCCCAGCAAAGCCGAAATACAGGACAGCACGGGAAATTGAAGCTGATGCGGCTGGACTGGCGGTTCCAAATGTGTTAAAATCCTTGGTCGATGCTACTGGTAAAGAACAGAAGCTCTTGACGTCAACAGCTGGTCTGATGACTCCCATGGAGTTCGTTAATGCAAATGAGGGCGAAGCTTGGAAGATTGCTCGCCGCGCCCGCCATGACCTCGAGGCCTTTGCGGATGAATGGAAAGGACTTAGCGAGAGGAAGAAGTTCGTCGAACTAGAGGAAGCACAAATTGTGGATGAGATGGACACACAGCAATCCAAGCTGGAAAAAGTAACTGCCTTGACACATTCCATCGAAGGACTAGAAATAACCGGCCCTGATGACAGCCTTGATAAGAGATGGGAAGATATTACGATAAAGTTGGAGGAGATTGAGACAAATTATCAAGACCTTGTTGATGAATGTCAACTTCCTGAAGTTGCTGTTGCGGCTGTCCATCCGCTGTTGAAAGAATCTTTAGAGGAGTGGGCTCCCTTATCGAATCCTACATACCTAATCTCTAATTTCCGCCGCTTACATCGATTTATGTCCCATTCGAAAAAGGCGAACGGCGAGACGCACAGATACCGTCAGTCGACTACGCCCTATGAGTCTATGATGTACTCCTTGTGGCTTCCTAGAGTTCGGTCCGCTTTGCTAAATGAGTGGGAAGTTCATGACCCTGGTCCTGCGACATCGCTCATAGAAGAATGGAAGGGTCTGCTACCTGAATTTGTATATTCTAATATACTAAATCAAGTCGTTGTTCCTAAGCTCAGCGCAGCCATAAAGGCCTGGAAACCAAAGAGTAGTAAAAATAACGGGTCGTCACAACACTTTCCGTGGTGGCTTTTTGACTGGCTACGTCATCTCGATGAACACCATACCGACCCCAAGGCACCGACTGGGCTCATGTCTGACGCAAAGAGAAAGTTCCGTGTACTTTTAGATACATGGGATCTAGGTCGTGGCCTTGTCAACAAGATAGAACTGTGGAAAGATGTTCTCGGCTCGGAGTTTGACAAAGCACTTCAAAACCATCTCCTACCCCGGTTGGCCCGCCATTTGCGAGAACAGTTTGACGTCAACCCACAGGATCAAGACCTAACTGCGTTTGAAGATGTCATGAAATGGAGGCCCTTTTTTAAAGCCGACGTTCTAGGGCTTTTACTTTCCGCAGAGTTTTTCCCAAAATGGCATGCTATTCTGCACCTCTGGCTCACCTCAGAACCAAACTATAACGAAGTTGGCCAGTGGTTCACCTGGTGGAAATCTCAGATACCAGACGAAATTAACACCATTCCTGAAGTTACAGAAGAATGGAACCGAGGCCTCGAAACAATCAATCTTGCCCTTGACCTGGGAGACAAGGCAAAGACAGATCTCCCTCCTCCACCCGCCCCTTCGTCTCATCCGGCGCATCAAAAGAAGACAAATGGCAAGCATCGTGATAAACATGCAACGTCTGCAAATGTGAAACCAACGAAGCCGCAAAAGGTACAGATTGAGGAACCTTCCTTTAAAGATATCGTTGAAGAATGGTGTGGAGATGAAGGGCTCATCATGGTTCCCCTTCGCGAAGCCCATCTACAGAGCGGCCTCCCCTTGTTCAGAATTACAGCAAGCGCCAATGGGAAGGGTGGTGTTCTTGTTTATCTAAAGGGAGACGTAGTGTGGGCTCAGAACAAGAAGGTCAAGGACGCCTGGGAGCCCACAGGGCTGGATGCAGGGCTCGTTTCTCGTGCTGAAGGGAATTAATCCATCTTATAGTTAGAAAGAATCTAGCGTGTGTACAAATATAATTTATACCCGCGACGTTTATTCATCTATATCTCTTTCTCCATAGTTCATTTTTGATATAAAAGTTTGACGTAGTTTATGATTATATAATCACGTATATTTAAGGGGCAAAAAAGTAAACATCAAACATTCAACAAGCAACATTGATAAGGAGCAGTTCATACAACCGATGTATATATTTCTTTACGGCTTTGGCATAGATGAATCTTCATATCCAGCATGTCATTTTATAGATACATATTTCGTATCGTCTCTGCGACCCTATTTTCCTTCCTCTCCATCATTCTCTTCGCGTTGACACTTCTCTCTCCAGCCGACATAATATATCAGTCCCATCGAAACCATAGGCTGGGAAACATCTTCGCCATTAGCGGAGTCTACATAATCACCTTACTTCTGGCTATATTGATATATGCCAGCCGCCTGTTCACGAACCGCAGTGTTCTTGCTGGTATCCCAAAACCATGGATCCCGGTTGAAAAAGCAGATGTATCAAAGAGAGTCAGAAGGCTTGTCGTTGGCGGCTTGCTTCGAAGCTCTGTTATCGCCCAGCAGTCTCGTCCGAGAGATGTTTCCCAGGATGATACAGGGCATCTTGATCCATCTCTCCTAATCCCCAAAGACCAAAAGCCTCCATGGGGCTCAATTTCGCATGCAGGTTGGACGGCACCACATTGTCCAGACCTTCCAAACCAGGAGTTTGAGGCTGTTATTAAAGAGCTTCCTCATTTGATCGAGGCAAAAGCCGTGTCGCTAGCACCCACAGATCCTAGACCGATGTCGCGGCTGGATCACCAAGCCAGCCGCTCCCGAGGGGATGAGAGAGTGCATGAAGTACCGGATGAGCGTGTTGTTGAGATATTGCAGAGACCTCCAAATATGTGTCTTCGTGACTATCTGAATCACCTCAATCGCCTCAGCCTAATAGATCCGCCGCATCTGATCCAGGACTTCATTCGGTTGTACGAATGTTCACGATTCTCAGGAAGGCCGCTGGAAGAGTGCGAATTCCGAGAAATGATGGGGCTTTTCGCTGAAATTCTAAGGAGCATGAGAGGAATCAATCCAGTAATCCTTTCGGAACTGCAATCAACTGGATCATCAGATGGCGCAGGATCAATCGGGGGTAGATCTTCATACTACGGAGGCGGGCCTGTATTTTCAAATTCGGATCCATCTTTTGTATCTGTTGCAGAGAATAAAGGTGATATACCAGCTCGCTTACGGTATCATCCTTCGATATATTCAGCTTCCGACAAGAGCAGTTTTCGTTTGGGGGCAAGCGATACGCATAGCATACGGACCCGTCGAACGCCATCGACCAGATCACTCCGGCTAATGCCTTCCAACGTTTCCATAAATTCCGGAGAGAGTGTCATCCGGCGTACTGTCTCTCATGTGTGAACGCGGAATATAATCATCGATGGTGCCCAGTCCCGTTTTTATTGGGGCATGCCAGAGATCTCAGCCTACAACCTGGAGAGGTTACAGAAGCTAGTGCAGCTCAATCTAGACGGCTATGTCTCATGAGTGCGAGTCCGCAAGCCACAAGAAATTTCATCCAGCCTAGAATGAGCGTTTTTATGCCAGACCATGGATCGATCTGCCAATACATGGGGACATTCCAACATGTACGCCAACTTATGCTTCAGTCAAGACAGCATTATAAGGCTTTAAATCCGGAGACGCGGCTGGTGTCCTATTTTTCACGCTATAGAAGACAAGGACTATATAACTATTAGCAATACTGCTAGGAGTTCTTCCATTTCAGCTGGAAATAGGTTTTGGAGTGTTGAAGTGGACAGGAACATGTATGTTGTCTTGAGGTCAGTTTTCTATCAATAACATTGGACCCTTTTAGTGTTAGTGATTATGCTTACTCCCTGCAAGGAAATGTTAAGTTGGGAGGTGAACGCTAAACTAAACATCTATCTGTTATTTTCTTATCGAAACCTTTTCTAACGACTATTGCAAGCCAGCATATTTTTGTCAAGTTCGACTTGATTATTCTTCTTTGCCCTGAGCTTAATTATTCTGAGTTAAAACTTAGGTTCACTATTTACCTCACCTTCCTTACTCAATGTTGATATAGCGACATTGAGTCCTTTATCGACTTAAACCTTCTTGCCCGACCACCGGCAGATAGCGCTTTAAAAAAAGCTCACGGATAGTGAGGATTAGTCGTATTCGGTTCGGGGATATGCATTAAACCTGCAAGTCTATTTTTGGAGACAGGGCAAAAAGCAGAGATAAATGCTATCGTTTGGGGCACAGTTCGGCGGACGACTTCCCTTTGCCCGAGCGTGTTACTCTACGATTCTCTTAGCACTATGCAAGCTAAATCGTTCCCAACCTGACTGGTCCACCTGGCTCTGCATATGCAGCGCAAGTTGGTTGGCTGTAATACTTGAGATCAAATGCCATGTCACCGTCTTCTTTTGAACTGTTAATGTCAGGGATGATTTTTGAATATTTCCTTAGCCAATATGCCCGAATCTGGGGGCTTGAAACAGAAGGGTCACTGAACAACTGCGTGCTGATGGGAATGTACATCTCAACGATTGCCGTAGTAAAAAAATTACCTAATGATATTCACGTGATAGCAGCGGCGCCTATTTTTCCGCCAAAGCGAGCGATTAAAAAGCATCAGATAAGATAAATTTTTCATCTGATCTGATAACCCCACAATGCCTAATAGTAGAGACATCAACCCAGCTCACCATGCAGGCATTCCTAAAACGAGGGCTATCCTCGCTCTCATTATCCGCTTCCTCTTCCCAATCAAACTTGACCACATCGACTGATAACCAAGTTAATGATATTCCGGGCGAAACCGACAACTCGGATATTGATGACAGGACAGCCGAACAGCCGGTAGTATTTACCACCGCCAGTGAAGATGTTCTCTTCCCCAAAGTTCGGCCGGAGCTAGATGGAGAGGACTGCAATAGAGATTGTGCAAGTTGTACAATTCGATATCCAGCAAAATTTATTGTTGATCTGGAAGATAAGGTGTACGGGAACGTCACAGGATGGGCAACCCACGTCCTTATTGCGACGGGGAAAACAGATTGGGTCCGAGATATTGCGGATGAGAAAGGCAGTGTCATGGAAGCTGTTGATAAGTGTGGGGTGAAACCTGGAAATGGAGTATGTGTCCCCTATACGGCGAGACGTAGTGGAGCGTTGCCGCCCCATGTTGACAAGACTATATGATGTAGACACTCAAGCTATCAGCTTCGAATATACCAGTACCGGATGAATACCATATGCATCCTGAAGGGGAGCAGCCGACGACAGCCTTGATATTGCCTGCGTTCACTATAGTGGAGAACGTCACACCCGCGCTTGCACCCGATTTGATTCACCATTTCGTCAATAAGTCGGCCACAACAACCACACCGCTAAATCAAGCATCCCTGCCTATTTGCAATCCAGCAGTAGATACGGGACCAATCGAAGGTGCGGAATCTGAAACCCAGGAATCATCTGTCAGCAACGGTAATGTCGGAAAGGATGATGCAGTGACCGAAATTCCCACACCTCTCCGTTCTCGGTCTTGTCCGCATGCCGCAGTGATACTGCTATGCTCACAGCGTACCCGCGATGCACGATGCGGGCAATCTGCTCCACTCTTGCGACGTGAGTTTGAGCGTCACCTTCGCCCGCTGGGCTTATATCGGGATCTTGACGATGAAAGACCAGGTGGGGTAGGCATATATTTCATCTCGCATGTGGGAGGACACAAATATTCCGCCAACGTGATGGTTTATCGGAGAAGAGACTTTGAATGGTATAAAAAGGAGGCGCAGAAGGAAGGCCAAGGGGATCATGAAGATCGCGGGAGTGAGGGTGAGGGCGCCGCCCAGGGGATATGGCTTGCCAGAGTTCGTCCGGAAGATTGCGAAGGTATTGTCAAATATACTGTGCTGAAGGGCAAGGTGGTCAAGCCCGATACACAGCTGAGAGGAGGTTTTGATCGGGAAAGGGGCCTGATTAGCTGGTGAAAACCGGTACGTATGTAATTACTGGAATACGGCCGGTAAACAAAAAACCACGTCGTCTCGGTTTCCTTTCTTATTTCACGTCTTTTGATTGACTCTTTTCTTATTATTGGGCTTGTTCCTGTTCGAGTAGCTGTTCGTCTTGCCCCGTCTGTATTTTCGTCTTCTTTTTTTTTTCGTATTTCTGCCTGTTTGTACCCCGTACTGTTCGTTCTGTTCCATCGGGTGTAACGTCCGTATACACCTATTGGTTAATGTAGCACTCCAGTTTGGACATGGATAGCTACTCTGAGCCACTGTCTCTGCCGTGTTGCTACTCTTCTGCTTGCCCTGCAGTGCTGGTGTAGTGTAACGTACAACGCCCAAGCTATGCTAGATGACCATTAAGCTGGCGGACAAGTTGGCATGGCGTGTAACGGCAGACACAGGTCAAAAGGGACTCCCAAGAGGCCTTATCCCTGTAGCTGAGTGTAAGCCGAGATTGTAGAAGCATGCAAGGGTATACTGGATTTATGGACCGTATATAGTTATATCCTCTGTATGTAACTATAGCCCATGAGAGAAACCGGTTCGTGCAACGATCCAAGGTAGCACTGATGCGCAGTAAGCAACGGCACATAAGCCATGTATGAGCATGCTGTCTTTTTCCGATCGTATCTGAACCCCCTATACATAGTACATCTTTGATATCAAGTGTAAGGGCGTATGGCATGTATGTGCGCGTGTTACCTGGCACCATCGTAAGCTGCCTGGCCTATCACGTTACACTGCCTTTCGATTGTGAAACGGCGTATGTCGACCTTGCGGCGTGGACTGACGGACGGACAGAAGGGCCTTGAGTGTATGGAAATGGGCGCGGACCTTTCTCGATTCCCAGGAGTGACCGATCATATGCATAGAAGTGTTCGTCCTTCTTTTCGAGAGCGGGAGATCGATCTATCAACCTTAACGGAGAGCGTTGAGAGGTCGACCAAGGCCGAGTCGATCATGGAAGAAACCTATTATTGTCTAACGTATCACGGATTAAAGGGCATGATCGAATGCCGGATGCCATGCTAATGAATGTGTATGTATCTGGGGCGAGATATATTTTGTCCAGTTGTAGAATCCAATTAATTTCCCATTCATTCGCTTTCTCTCCGTATAGACATTTTTGAAAAAAGAAAAGAGAAAGGAAGTAATGGAAGGAAAGCTTAAGTATAAACAAGAATGGATATTTACCAGAAATGAAGCAATCAACCATTAACCATGGTTCACTGGTTCGTTGAGTTCGGTAGAAGCGGGTATGGGTGATTATACCCCTTTCCCGTCCTCGTTCCCTCCACCGTATTATTAAATAAGGGGATATTCGGATGAGCAACGGAATAAAAGATCAGAATCAAGGTATAGATGAACCTGAAGATGTGAAAATAGGGGGAACGGATAACCAAGCCACCAAAGAAATCTCTCTGTATATCAAAAGAAAAGAAGAGAAGGAATGGGAAAATGTAGAATTGATGGAAATGGTAAAAAGGAGATATATATGGATATATCAAAGGCGAGGAGGCGTCGCCTGCCATTCCACGAAGAATGTAGATACAGAATATATTTAAACGCCAAATCAAGTCAGATGAGAAAATATAGCAAATGATAATGATGATGCAGAGAAGCCAACATAAGTAATAACGCCAGGCCGTTTCCAAGTTCCCAGGCCGTTCAAGAGATAAAAAAAAAATTCAAAGTAAAACAGCAGAAGAGAAGAATAAGAACCGGGCCTTTTTAGCCTTTGGTCCTTTGCTGGCTCCGTTCCCGGCCCGATCCGGTTCCAAGATAGATAAGGCGCGAAGCTCATGGTTAAAACTATCGGTTCGTCGAGTAGTTTTAGTCGAGAAGTATGAGAAAAGGAAGAGGGGCACCTGAAATGGCTCGGGAACGGGCTGTATATAAGGCAGACTACGCGTGGTAGAGATGCCTTATAGAACTTTTTCATTCGCATTCGTCTGTTTGCGTATAGACCTCGTAATCATTGTAGTATCACTGTGCTAAGGTAGCAACGCTATGCTAACTCAAGCCCAGAAAATCCCAGTTCATGTGTTCTGGGTATGTCGATCCAAAGAACCTCTGCTGGCCATGCTTCATGTGGTCGAATTCCTTCATGTACTGGCCGCCTGCCCCACCTGCGACGACAGGAAGCACCTGGAAGCCTCCGTCCGTCTGGTGCGAAACCTGGATAGGTTGCGGTGCTTGTATCCGTTGCTGCTGTGGCATGGATACGGAGACAGGATGAGCGTATGTGAGTTGGTCTATAGTCGTAGGTATCGAGACTGCGGCTGATGTGGTGATTGGGATATCATATCGGGGAATTTGGGGTGGTAGGATACCCGTCGAGACGTAATGGACCTGCGGAGGGAGGATAGGTTGCTCTGCGGAGATGGGGATGGAGTGTACTGTTGTTGGTTGGGACTGGGCGTGATGGAAGTAGTCGGATACGGGTACCGCTATTATGGGTGAGTGTTGTTGTTGGTAAGGGGAGTGCTGTTGGGGTCGCGGCTGAGGCTGTAGATGTTGCTGTTGGTGCTGCTGCTGTTCCTGCTGTTGCGACTGCAGTTGATGTTGTGATACAGGGGACGATTGTGGCATCATCGACATCGAGTGCTGTGTTGGTTGAGAGTATAGCTCCGACTCGCATGATTGCGCAGACGGTGAGACGGCCTCTGGCTGGTGGGATCGGCTTTGGTGTTTTGTGAGTGTAGTTTTGCGACAAAAGCTATACAGAAATATACCAGTTAGTTGCGCATTCCTCCCCCGAGACCGTTGATAGCGAGCAGAACAAACAAACCTCCTATCGCAAGTGGGTTCTAAGCACTTATACGGCCGTCGACCGGTGTGTATCCTTCTATGTCTAGCAAGACTCGACGACTAGACAGACGTTAGACAATGTTTCTATATTTCCCTCCACCAAAAGGTCAGAAGGTAGATGTATAAGAGAGATGTACATCTGAAAACGCCTTGCTGCAGTTTGCAAAGTTGCAGACATGTGGTTTCTCTCCCGTATGCGTGCGCGAGTGCACCGTCAACGCCGAGCGCTGGATGAAGCTCTTGGTACAGTTTGGAAAGTTGCATCGATACGGCCGTTCGTTCGTGTGTATTCGGTAGTGTCTGCAGAGGTCCGACTTGCGATTGAATACCTGCAAACATGTGTCAATCAAACGGTTGCAGGCGAAGGATGAAGCAGCAGCATCATCATAAGCAGAAGCTGTGCATGTATGTGTATGTGCCTCCGCGGTCAGACATACCTTTTTGCATGAGACCCACGAACACGGGAAGCTACGTGTGCGAACCATGATAGCCGTGCGTGCGAAAGGAAGAGGGAGGAGGAAAAAAAAGTCGTTTGGTCGTTTTCTACGGGAGCATGCACGGCGGCACGGGCGAATGGATGGAGTTGGAGACGCAGTGGGCGGTGCGCTGGTGGTTCAGATGTTGATGACGATGTTGATGAGTTATATGTAAAGTTGATGGAGGAGACCAAGGTCGAGGCCGGAGAGGTGCGAGACGCAGCGATCTTAATATAATATTATAGTCATGAAGCATGAAACAGACGAGGGGAGCAAATATAATAATAAAGAATAGCAGCGAGCCCGGCGAGCCAGACAGCAAGTAATCAGCAGCAAGCGATCTCTCTCTCTCTCTGGTGAGTTCGTAGCGGCGGCAGGGCAAAAGAGAGAAAGCAAAGCCAAAGCCAAAAGCAAAAAAAGCTACAGTTGAGAAAGCAAGAAGCAAAAAAAAAAAAAAGGAAGAAAAAAGAAAAGGACGAAGAACGAGGGTGAAACCACAGTGGAAAAAGCAAGTCGACCTTTTTTTGAAAGCAGACAGACCCAGCCCTGCGTCTGGCTTGTCTTTGATATCCTTTTTAGCAAAAAAGGAAACACAGCGCAGGTGAAGCACCGAGATTCTCGATGTGTACGTTTTCTTTTTGGAGTGTCGACTTAACCATCCAGGACGCCGGTGTTTGCGGCGAGTGGAGGAAGAAAAAGCAAAGATACCAAAAAGACTAGCAGGTGGGTATCTGTCTCTTGTTGTGGGCAGTGGGCGGGCGTGGAGATGGAGCAGAGATGGGGGGTGGATTTTGGGGGGGGAGGAGAAGAAAAGAAGGAGAAGAGAGAGAGCGAGCGGATGGTGAGGTTTTGTTTTTTTTTTTTCTCTTCTTTTTTTTTCTGATGTTCAAGGAGAGAAAAAGAAGGTTAGGTTAGGAGCGAATAAGGTTTAAGTTCAGTGTGGGTCAAGCGCTTTTTTTAAGGTTAACACTTTTTTCGGACGATCTCTTGGCGGAGCTAGTCCTAAACTGGATGTATCATACGTATCATACATACATATGTTACATACGTTACATACCGTACGGCTTAGTCATATGTACTAGTGACAGCGTCGAAAGGTTGAACTTGCATGAAATATTCGACGGAGAGAAGATGGACGAGAGAGCCCACACAGCGAAGAGAGAGAGAGAGAAAGCCAGAACAGGATCCTTCGCTACCCGGCTCGATCGATCGGATCGATCGATGGACAGACGACAGGGATATTCGATTATCAATAATAATTGTCACAGAAACCCGTCGACCGGACAGCTTCCAACCTCCCATCTGACAGCTAAGAATGCCCGTTGGGGATGCATGCCTCCGCGGCCTCTGTCTTCTCGTCTATGCAACGGTGGCGTCGAACCCATGTGTCTGGTGCTACCTATTTTTTTTTTTTTCGCGTACTTGTAAACAACAGGAAAGCAGAGAGGGAAAAACATGATACAAGCACCAGTCGACTGGTTAGAGGGAAACTTGCCCTGTGCAGGCTCGGCTGGACCTTGCTGGCCGCTTGTTGGCTCCATTGCTTGCTGCTTGCTTGCTTGATGCTAGTCTTATAGCGGAAGTGGGTAAGAGAGGTATACGTACATAGTACACATATATAGAAAATCCTCCCTTTTTAACGAGCAGAAGCGGCACAGGCTGAGGTTGAAGTTGCCTCTTTCTCTCTTGTGTGAGTGCAGCAGCCAATCGAGAGGGATCCGAACATGATCAAAGACGAACAGAACAGGAGTCAGGTATACTTTGTTTTTTGTGAGCTCGCTTTTTTTTTTTTTCCTTCTTGTGAGGATCAAGAGAGTCAAGACAAGGGATGGAGTACATCGTCCTCCTCATCGACCAACAGCTCAAAAGTCATATTGACCTGAGCCGATTGATTCCAAGGGGACTGACTCCGTCCATATCGATGGCATTGTTTTGTTCTGTCATCGATTGAGCGAGTTGACCCTAGCCCCTGTCCCTGTCCCTGTGCTTGGCTCGTCCTACGACCCCCTTCAACCTCTTCTCTCTCTCTTTTTCTCTTGTGTGTCCTTCGAGAGAGTACATATCATCTCGCATACATTACGGGCTACGTGCATGGTACAGCTGCAGCCATCTTTGCCTTGCATCTGCATTGCCTCCCACCCAGCCAGCCTCTCCTGCATCCTCATTGGCAGTAACCCCCACTGGCCCCAGTCGAGGCGAGAAGCAAAAAAGAATGACAAAAAGGGGGTGGGAGTGGCCATGTGGCAGGCTGAATCAAGCGGTGATGACAGGTTCTGAAGCGAGTGAGAAAACCATGAGAACTGTGTACATGAAAATACATGCTGCACATCCATCAGCACACTCTTGTTAAGAACGCCAACGACCGCCGGACGGGATATATGGTCCACTAACGTCGTGGTGCGTGTGTACATACTTACAAGAAGGTGTGAATAACTTTGACTCCAACTGGCTGGGCGTACTACTGCCTCTTATCCACCTGACGAGCCGGCCTGTTGGGAATAGGCTGTACCTATACCATGTACACATCTCTCTGCCAAGGGGGTGAAGACGTCCATACGAAGTAACTTGCTTTACAGGCGAGTCGACATGTACCACTGTGAGGTACGGTACTAGTATACGCCATTTATCGATATACTATCGTGCTGCTGCGAGGAAGGATACGAGGATGGATGGACGCCTCCCCGCACTCTGGCAGGAGAAGATGAACAGAAAAGAAAAATCAATATATATATAAATCTCAAGGACAAATCGATAGCGGCCGAGAGATACGGCGGGAAGAGAAGAATGGAACGGAAGGCGGAAGGAACCGTATTACTTAATGATATACTAGGGGAAAGGGGGAAAGAAAAAGAACCTGCCGCCTGAATAGAAATAATTTATCATCAGTAGTTCTTTTCTATCACTCTGTACCTATACTAGGTACTCCAACGTGTAAGTATATGTCTACATACTTCTCACGATATACGGAGGAGGCTAACAACTCGCCATCAGTAAGTAATACTAGTTCCCGCGTTCCCTGGTGGGTCAAGTGGAAGACTCCATATTCATCTCCATCATCTCCGTCTCTCCATCGGCGTCTACACTCGACCAAGAGAGTAAGTGGACGATACGGGAGTGCATGCATCGACAGCCGTCTCAAACGCCCACATATTATTATTGCGATTAACTTACCAGATGATCTGACGCTTCTTATCAAAACCTAAGAATATCAACAGTTTCGGTTTCGGTCGAATTCGTCCATTTTTTTATTTGTTTTGTTTCTCATATTATTCCATATAATATTACTCCATACTAGTGAGTAGATCGCTCGTTTATCTCCATTTTCTCCATGTGGTCGAAGACTTCAAGATATTCAACCTGATTAACAAAATGGTACTAAATTAACTAGCAGATGGAGCACTTGCTTTTCTATTACAATATTCAGGCTAAGGAGCTTGATGCTTGATAATCCTCAGCTAAGCACGGCGTTTCATTTGATTCTCGAGACCTTGCTTCGTGACCAGAGTTGGTGGTGATGGCATGATTAAACCCATGGGATTGAGATTGATACGAAAGGGCGGACTGGATACGTATATTCATTGAGAAGATGCAGTTGGAGCGGAAGAGTTGGCCGACGCTATATTCACCTGGACCTACTTTCTCTCCTCCCGTATAGCAACCCTTGCTCCTGCTCGATGCAAGTCATTGATATCAAATAAATATCGACGTATTAATTCGACAGCAACATCAACACCAGAGAGTAAGAAAAAGAAAAGAGGGAAAAAGCAATTAAAACTGGCCGATGGAATCAAAGTTACCACTACCACCAAGGTACATGTACTTGCAGCCAGCCCCCTTGCAAGCCTCCATCATTGCTCTCTCTGGGACAAGAAAGACGTTGCTTACATACTATGTAGTGCGAAAGACGCCGGTCTCCCGGGCAGGCGTCAAGGGGAAGCAAGAGACAAGCATCAGGCATCTTGAGTATCAAGCATAAACAGCCCATCCATGGTTGATGGTAGACTTGCAGCTTGGAGGCACGAACCACCCGCTCGCTCGACCCAGGAACCCGCCCGGTCCTGGCTCGACACTAAACCCTCTCTCATCAAACATCTCTCCCAAGGGAGAAAGATCAGGAGACGGGACCAGGAGATGGCGATGCGCAACAGTCCAGAGCCATCGCTTATCCAGGATACGAACCGCTGTCTCGCTATGGAATCAAAAAGTTAAAGCCACGCAGTTGATAGACGTGACAAATACACTTCTTCTCCTTACTCATCTTAAAATCTTGCGCCATTCGATTTTGAAGCAAAAAACCCAGGAGGATTTTTTGGATAGTTATGGGGGCACAGCGCAAACACGATGGCGCAGGATCACCGCGCTCATACCAGGTTCGTACCCATATCCTGGGTTTAAGCCAGCCTTAGTTCGACAATTCTGTTTGATCAGACCAGACAGAGACAAGTGCGGAAGCAATACATAGTAAGAGCTATGGGAGAAACGGCGAGGAGGCGGGAGCTAAAGGCATATCCTTCTGTCTCCAAGTTGAGAAACGGGCGGACCTCGGCTACCATGCAGTTGAAGTCCTTCACTAAATTCTCCGGCATGAAAAGATGCCGCCAAAACGGATGTCGTTCACCGTTTGAGAAAGCCTATAGTCTTTTGTCGGTCATCCACTCGCAATCATTCCAGCAACATCTCCATACGGAAGACGGCGAGGAACTATCAAAAGATCTATCCTCGATCCCGTCTCTTTGCCTCTCCACAACTGCCTCACGGATCTCGTTTCGAGCTGCCGTCTTCTGTTTCAACGGGCGGCGCGGATCGACATGGCTTGCCACTTTCGTCCTCCACGCAATCTTCAGACAACACCTGCTGCTTGCGTTTCTTTTTTTCTCTCTCTTCCTGCCATGTCAATGCTGGCTCATGATTGATCGATATTTATATCGCTTCTTTTACCCCACAGGCTGGGCGTGGGCGGATTTGAAGATTGAGATTTGAGGCTCCAGAACCAAACACAGTCGAAACCT